AGTGCATCCACTTCAAAGGTCTTCTCCTTTATAACCCTCATACTTTTTCGTAATTCTTCTAATTCTCTTTCAGATTTGTTAAATCTTCCCTGGAGTTCCTTATATTGCTTTCCTTGTTCTTCAAAACGGCTATTCATTTCCTGACGAAAGTCCTGCATCTCTTTCAGCAAAATACTGTGGTTCTTTTGGATCAAAGCTTCAAAGATTCGTGGACTTGCCTTTTTTGGTGACAAATGATCCTGCATCTCCTCACTTATATACCGATCCCCTTTTGTGCCCCTGCACGAACAGTCTGAACATTTCCAAACATCTTTGTCTTGCTGATTCATTAAAACTAATTTTTCTTTACTAACTTTGATGCATTCAATATGAAAGCTTTTATGACATTGCACTCTGCAACACTTTAAATATAAAGAATTAATTATCTTCTTATTACATTTATTGCAATCCATTGAGTCCCAATTCTTGTATAATAAAAATTATAAAAAGAAAAACTATATAAAATATATTTGCTGACTGGTCTTGAACTCAGATCACCGATGACGACCACTTTCAGTAGGCGTAACACTGGCGCTGCCTCAACGACCGATGGTGGTATGCTTGAATAACTTGTATATTATTATTTTAACGTATGAAGTTTGAAAGGAATGACTAATGCAAAGTAAACGTTTACTTTCTGCAGGTCACATACGTACTTTTTCTTCTTTTTTTTTCCACAAGTCCACATACAAATTCCAAGTGTCTTATATAGAATTTATTACTTTTATGTCACTTGCACTAGAATAGTTACCGCACTTTTAGTTCTTTTGATAAATTCGAAGAATGAATTTAACAAATTTAAAACATAAATTTTCCTGTTATATCCACTTCCGAGGAAGGAGATATCTTTTGCTGTGGTATATATTTCACTACTAAAGTTTGTTATTTACGTTTTATTACGTATCTTCAATAATTACTATTTTTAAACAATTTATTTATGAGGACTGGATGTTGACGTTGCGCCTACCCGCAGTTAATTGCCTTGTAGGTATCAACTAACCTATAATATATTATTATAGGTTAGTTGATACCTACAAGGTAGAGATAGGAGATCTTTGCTAGAAAGTTATTCTGGGTAAATTTTATCACATGGGATGATGGTAACAGATTTGTGAGTATTAACACGCTACCTATATTAATAAATTGTCGAAATATAATAAGTACTTACTTCCCTACTTAATCAATACAATACCTTTCAGTGTTCTTTCAGACGAGCGGCACGTTTAGTGTTATGACGACACCAATGGTTTTAATACTGGGGAACGTCTCTCAAAATCGGGATTGAAACCAAATACCTACTTAATAACGCCCAAATCTCAGTTTTTTCTTAACTGCAAGACGCAAGAGTCTTGCAGGCTTTAGTATTGTCTTGCTCATGTCTTGCAGGCTTCAGTCTTGGTCTTGGTATTGCTACAATAAGGCGGTCTTGGTATTGGTCTTGGTCTTGCGGAAACGCAAGAACAAGACCAAGACTGCAAGACCAAGACCGATTTTGGGCAACACTAATTGATTGGAGTAGCATCCTTATCAATTCATGTTAATTTTATAGTAAAAATAATTAAAAATTAATTAAATTATTATTTAATTATTTTAATTTTTTTTTAATACGTTTCTCATTCTAAAGAATTAATTTTTAGACATTTTTATTTATTGGACAATTCACACCAATTGACCTAGTCCCATGCTAAGCTGGTGAAGCTTGTGTTATGGGAACTAGGCAACGGATATACATACATATTATAGATAGATAGACATATAAATACATATTTAAACACCCAAGACCTAATGACAACACCAAATGCTCATCACATCGATGTTTGTCTCAGCAGGGATCGAACCCGGGACCCATGGATTCGCAGTCAGGGGTACTAACCACTAGACCAATGAGCCGTCAAATATATCTTCTGCTCCTGTATCAATTAAAAACTTGTTTTTATTGTGCAACATTTCTTTAGATTCTAACTTTATATATTATGACAAAATTCTAGTATCTACATGTCTTATTCGGTCAGCTGTATTTACAGTCCTTAACGCCCGAACCCAATAACCTATATCAATCCATAATCCACCATCTGAGATAGTAATCTTAATCCAAATATAGCACCAAGTGTGCCAATAACCAATCCACGGATTGCAATAGCCATCTGTCGATACAAGCTATCCATGGGAGGTCGTATCGGTGTCTGTGGATAGACCTTTGTATGAAAATGACAGTTGACGAAAGCTCAATTTCAACAGTTAATTATTTTAACAGATTTTAACTTACACCAGTTTTTTAAATAATTAAAAAAACTGTTTGTTATGTTTTTGACTTTGATAATCAATCAAATAAATTTGTAATTATAGGGTCCAAAGGCTCGCACACGTGTCTATTAAGGAAAAGATCAATAAAACAGCCACGGAAACTGTCTGCGGTCTGCCGATTACTTACAGTCATCCCTCAGCATGTTTTTTTACAAATATAAATTAGGACTCATCCTTCCTAAGCTTTATTTTAAGCTATACAAACTGTACTAGATAATGCGTAAACAACTGAAGTACAAAAACATCATAGGTAACAACAAGTAAAAACAAAGTAACAGACGCCAACAGACATGTATTATTAAAGAAAAATTGAAGCCATAAGAAAATATTTAAATTAAAATTTCACTTGTTTTCATCATACAACACTTGATATAATGGCGAACTAACAAACAGTGAATGACGTAATCTATTTAATGGAATTAAAAGCCGGTCTAGATAGTTGGCGCCCAAGTTTATATTATGCAGGATTTGAATATTTTTCTAAAAAGACGACGGATAGCTACTAAGAAATTCGTTTATACAAATTATTATGAAAAGGTTATAAGTATTTTTCTATTATTCAATGTGGATATACTTATAGCAATTTCATTAGAAGTTTATACTTCATAATTTCGTATTATGCTATATCCCCAAGTTGCTTACACGAGAGTTATCACGCACACGCTTCATGTTAAACAAAATGGGACGAGCCCAGTTCCTATCGAAGCGGCACATTGATAGCTATTATTATTCTACTTGGAGTTAAAATATACCATTAAACAAGTATGTCTACAAAACAAAACTCTTATCACATTTTACCACACTGATATTTTTGTAAATATATTTTAACATTGCACTATTAAAATACAATTTTTCAGGCGAGGTTTAGGCAAGGTAAATCCTCAAAAACAATGATCTCTAATATGATTGTTGACAAAAATATTTAAAAGCTGTTGTGTTTTAGAGAAACAAAATGAAGGATAGAAACTATAATAGTTTCACTTCCTACCTATCACATACCTATAATGAATAAATTTGTAATCCTATATAAATTAATGAAAATCCAAGCTTTTAATTTTTTGCCCTAACGAAGTTATAGGGGGTCTCAAATGGCCCGAACTGCTTCGAAAACCATGCCGCTTTTTTGCTCGACTTGACGGAGACGAAAAGGAATGAATAATTGAAAAGGAAAGTGGCAAATTGTCCTTTTAAAAGTAAACTACTAAATAATCTGAGTAAGATTTACGACTCAATTCTATTCTCAAAGTCTAGGCATCGTCCACGTAGTCATACTGTCTACTCTCTTCTTACTGCAGTGATGCCGTTTGACGAAGTTTACTTTTACATCGATGGGAGCATTACCTGTTTAAAAGTCTTATGTCCAAAGTAAGAAACGTCATCACATCAATGCAAATGTCTGAAATAGACAATTAACGATAAACCAAACGAAAACATTAATCAGTCAATCTATATGCGTTCATCAACCAACCTTAATAGTTAATAGTCTCTTGATTACTTTAAATGCAGTGACGCGAATCAACAATAGCGCTTTAGATTCAAAATAAATTTTAAATTATTTTAGGTGTCATATAATTCTATGTTTTTGATATTAACGCTACAAATTCTAAAATAACCACAATGAAGTAGAGTTTCGTTCCGTTTAGTAGGATTCAGAGTCGACACTTAGCGCTAAGTATGACAGAGACTGCTAGTTATAGGCTGAACTTTTGAAATATTTGTCGAGTTTACAGAATGGCTCTGCACAGGTTCGAGTTTGAAAGAATCAATTTGTGTTGGGAGGCACAGTTTCTTTGTACAGGTAAATTTGCCACGAAACAGCTATCTAGTTTCTTATAATGTAAGAGGTATTAAAAAAACTATTTATTTTTATTTTTTATTTTTATAGAATAGGGCGGCAAAACCGCCTACGGTGCGCCCAAAAAGAGCAGTCATCGCAGCCCATGTACACCCATTTTTAGTGGGTGCGTTGCCGGCCGATTCTATTAAGTATTTAGCAAAAAAGTACAATATTTATCACTTACATTAATTGTATGTTTGTAAAAAATATGACTATCTACTATACATGAAAAATTCATAGTAGGCATTCAACTGTGGTAGTAGGTATTAAATCTTAGTTTATAACAGTTCTGATAATTAATATTAGTTTAATATACCTATGTATTTCTTATCTATCTCTCACTATTTAACAATATTAAAGGTTTAAAAACATTTCAAACACTTATAATTTTGACAAGTGACACAAATATAAATGCTTACTTTAAAAAGCCTATTGTGCTTTTCACTCATATATTTCATATATTCGAACCCTGGACTCGTCCCTTAAATAAACCGTTACAGTTGCGATTATCACAAGCTCTTTCATGAGGTACAATCTGCCATTTGTATTTAATCTAGCCTAGATTTGTGGCTTATATACGCAAAAATATATAAATATTAGACAATAAAATGGCACGTGAAATACCAACATAATGATGAAGCTAAAATCAATAAAAAATAATCAAAATGCAATTGAAGGGAAGACCATTGACGCACTTTGTCATAATATGACAGATAATGGGTAGACAATTGGTCCTGCCATCTTCTTAACCTAACAATTCTTAGAAGCTATCGTCCAATTGCATTAAAAACTAACCAGATAAACGTATCAATACAATCACTTAATCTGGCTTTACATTTAAGCTGGGTTTTTTATTTAAAAACCGGTTTTTGATGGATCTTACAATGTTGTCTTTTGAAACATCTTCAAAGCTAACGCCCTTATGTCGGGTTATACATGCAGAAGCTTCTACCAAAATATTTATAGCGTGTGAATCCAGTGAAGAAAAATTGCATCTTTTTAAAGCTTTATCTGTGAATATCTCGTGTAAAAACATGCGAGCCAGTTGAGTTCTCGTTTGTGCCGCCCTTATAATGTAGTAACATGCTACACCATTTATATACACACCACTGCCATCTAGTAACTCGAATGCATCGTTAGTTTCTTTAGGATATCTCAAAGTCCATCGAGTAACAGAATTTTCTTTGTCATTTGCAGCATCAGTCCCATTTTTCCTTTCCAGTTCCAATTTAAGTTCTTTGATTAGTTTATCTTTCTCTTTGATTATTTTGAGTAGCTTCTCGTGTGTATCATCGACGGTTTTATCTTGATTGTTGTAAGATTTGAGTTTTTCTATAAATTCTTTAAACGCACAAGATTTCTGGTGAATTAATTTTATAGCTTCTTTTAGTTTTTGCTCTTGTTTTTCGCAGGATTCCAATTGTTTCGTTAAAGTTGTCAAAAGATCTGGCGTTAACATACTATCATCGTCTAAAACTTCTATATCTTTAGGTGTTGTCGTTTCTTCAAGTTTTTTTTTGTTTGTCGTATGTTTTGTTTCAGCCTTCCGCTTTTTTCCATTTTTTTCTAAATCAGCTGGATTATCCTCAGGATCTAGAATTTTTTATTATTATTGTCAAAACTTCTAAATAAAAGGAACTTTCCTTCTATTTAGAGGTTTTAAACAAAATAGAAGTAAGAGATACGTTCGATGTAACCGTTTTCCTAGTCATAATTTGCAAATATTCTATTATTTATTTTATTATTTACGCAATATTTTACATAGATAGTCTAGATTATAACTTGAACTACGTTTTCATATACAGACCTAAAGAAGTAAGTATACGAAAGAATCAGAAGCATAAAATAACTACCTTTTAAATCTCCATCTTCATAATCTGGTTTCCGAGAGTTCAGGTCTTTACAAATATCTTTTGCCTTTTGTGCAGAATCTGAAAAATAAAGTGTATTTGTGAGTATACGTATACCAAAATACCTACTTACTACTAACAATCTTGTTGGGGGTACGCCCCGTGAGTATAGCCAGACGGAGGCATTCTCTATACACTAATCAGCATAGTATAGCACTTCATTATAGTAAGAGCTTTAACTTGTACGCCGTACGGTTCAGGAGTTCTTAAGGACTGGTGTGCTCCAATCTGCTAGGCAATCGTGTATTCGCGAGGGCCTCTACGTGGTACATCTCCAAAAATACTCTGCATCCGTACGTGACAAAGTGTCGAAAGACGGGATTTTATCTACAACCGTCTTACTATGGTCAAGTTAGTATTCTTAGCTGTCCAAGAAATTTATTTTTCTCTATTCAGATGGATTTAACCGATTATTGTCTAGCACCATAAAAGTAAAACAGAATCATCAGAGCCTCAACCAAATCTTTTCTTCGATTTCAAGGAAAAATTTCGGTACTTCTATAAACCAAATATTGCAATTTTTGTAATGTGGGTTCATCTTCTGATTTTGTTTATAAACAAAAAAACAACTGAACAATTACAAACAACCACAAAAAATTATGTATGTCTTTATAATATTAATAAGATTGTATCAATTGTTATGCTAATAATAGCACGTAATATAGAAAATAAAGGAGCTAATACCTATTTCAAACAAGAATGTACATACATATGTATATTCCTACAAACAAACATGTTTATAAAATATGTGTGTAAATTTAAAATTATGCGTCACGGCTCACGGTCACATCGAAAACTGGAATTTTGCTAAGTTAATTTAAAAACAATTCGTCTGCTGCCGGCGTTCGTATGTATGTTAACGTAATTTTATATTATATGATATTTTTGTTTAGTTTCTGAATGAATTAATATTTAAACCATTAATTACATGTTTGTTATAGTTAAATGTCATCAGTATCTATCCCAATTGAGAGAGTAAAGATTGAAGAGTAGATTTTGAGCCAACCTCATTATAAATATATACCTATAATAAATTTCGTGTAAAGCTCGCAAACGTCTATCAAAAAACAAATAAAAAAAACAGCGACAGAAACGACTATGTACTTACAATCTATCCGCATAGATTTGTAAAATTATAAAAATAGGACTTTGCCCTCGTAAGCTTTATGCTATACAAACTGTACTAGATCTAGATAAAACATCGTATGTAACCAAAAGTAAAAACTAAGTTGCAGAAACCAATAAACATTATTGGGAAAAGTAAAGCCTAAGAACTCCAAAAGACAATATTTCAATTCAAATTTAACTTGTTTTCATCATACAACTTTTGCGATAAAGGCGAACTAACAAACAGTGCATGACGTAGGTACCTAATCTATTTCTGGAATTAAAGAGCCGGTCCAATTTGTGGCGCCCATGTTTATATTATGCTGGATTTCGTATATTAAAAAAAAAACACGACGGACAGCTACTAAGATTTTTTTTTACTAAATATTATAAAAATGTTAAAGTTAATTGTTAGCTTTCATGATTTCCTATTACGCAATAGTTGTTATGAGAGATCTACACGATGAGTCATCACGCACACGCTTCATGGTAAACAAAATGTTGGGGCGAGCCCAGTTCTTATCGAACCGGCATATTGGGATAGCTATTATTATTTTACTTTGTGTTAAAAATTGTTGGGATTTTCCCATTAAAAAAGTATTCCAACCACATCTTCTATCCAATAAGTACGTCACACGAATTTTAAGACTTTTGAACCCCTCCCCCCGTCCTTGTCACAGGTTGTCACATTTTTATAACACCCCCCCTCCTGATGTGACGTCACACATTTTTTAAATTTATGTATGTATTTAAAAATAATCGAGAGAAAACAGCTATTTTCATTTTTTACTTATTTTTATTAAATAATAATCTAATAAAATCAACATAAAGTCCAACATTTCATAAAACCGAAAAAGCAAACATCTAGTTAGAAAATAATAAACGATTAATTATATTTATTAAAGATAAAAATATATATATTTTTTGTATATCAATGTAAATATAGATCAAGTTCGTAAATTTTAAAATTTTTAATTCACATCCAAAGTTTGCGTTTTAGTATTTTAAATTTTAACATGTGACGTCACAAAAGTATTGACCCCCCCATGCCCCTTGTCACACGATGTCACACTTCGATTATAACCTCCCTCCCCATTAACGTGTGACGTACTTTATGGATGGCCCCTACGAAACTGATATTTTTCTAAATGCATACATTTTAACATCGCTCTATTTCATAAAATACCTACTACTTTTCAGGCGTGATTTAGATAATTTAAATCCGTATAAACAATTGTCTGACCTGATTGTTGAAAAAAAATATACAAATTATGAATTCTGCGTTTTAAATAAACAAAAATATGAAAAACATCTTACCTGTCGCACTATGCAGTTTACCCAAGAAATAAGGCCATTTATCATAATGAACTTCATTATTCTTCATGGATGGATCGATGGGATATGTGAACACAATGTAACCTGTATCTTTCGCTTTAAGAATGTCTATTTTGGGTATATAAATAAATTCACCCAAATAAGCATATGGCCTTTCTAGAAACTGCACTACGTAGTATGCTTTTTTATGTTTTTCGTCCTTTATCTAGAGTAGAAAAAATTCATATTAAATTACCTTATTAAAGGTCTTTAAGCAGAGGAAGAAACCTTAACTATACGAACCTAATGCTATTTATTAATGACCTGTATGCTGCATGTAAAATTAGTTAGTTATTATTAGGAAAAAAATAATATATATAATACGATTTAGAAATCTGTCGCCCGAATTTGATGATACTGATTATGTAGGTGTCTCGGTGGACCTCCATTGGAACACCTCGAAGTGATTATAGCTGCCGAAGTTGCGTCTAAGTGTTAAGAAAAATATTTAAAATTTTGTGAAATGTATTGAAATTCGTAAAAAACCGTACTTTTCTATTGGTTATTAGAGATGTGACATTCTGCATCAAAACTATTTTTTTTTTATATGTATGGTCAATTTTACCTCTAGAGTTTTATTTTAAAACCGTACTCGTGGAGGAATAATATAATATATACATTTAACAAAATTTTAAAATTTTTTTTGAAGTTATACTTCTTTAGGCGCGTTATGAAAAATTTATGTGAATGAAATTTTAGGATGCGCGCGCACCTAAGACACAAAGTTGTCAGTGTGATTATAGCGTGCGCGAGCGAGATGGGAATAAGACAATCTACAAGTAAAAATAAATAAAATATGCGTGAAGTTAGCAGCTATGCCAAGAATTTTGAATGAACATAATGACATTTACCTTTTAAACAAATAAAGAAGTTTTAATTATTTTTTCAAAGAAATTTAGCAATGCTTTTTCACAAAGACCTGTTTTTACTTAGTTAAAAGGTTATGAAACATACGTAGTTATTAAATTGAATGAATAATATAATAAAATAATAAATAATAATTATTATTTTATTATATTGTTATTTTTATTAATATTAATTAATAATTGAATGAAAAAAAGAATAATAATTGAAATATACTAAATATTAAATGTTATTAAATTATTAACGTTAAATATTTGTAATTAATTATTTAATATTTAAAAAAAATAAAGAAAGCCAAAGAAGTATAACTTCCACGCACCCTTGTTTTTAATACTTTACGCAACTTCGCCAGCAAAAATCACTTGGAGGTTTCCAATCAAGGTACATAATCACTATCATCAAATTCGGGCGACGTAATTCTAAATCCGACCCGATTTTTTTAAATAAAATACACAAAAATAATTTTTAATTCGAATCCAGCGGTTTCAAAAATTAGCGCAATACAATAATGAATGACGCAACATCATAATAGTACTTACATCTTTTATTTTCATAGTATCAGCCATAGTGTGACTGCACTACTTTGAGTTTATCTATAACAATTATTATGGTGTCTACTGTCTAATACATTCACTACAAAATACAAACACTTGTTTGCAAACTGGTAATTTAAAGTACACTGCACAACACTTCACCTCAATCTTTTTTATTACACTATTTATTAATCAAGTGAATCAGATGACACTAGAGTGTCCACTGTCCCGGTGGCTGGTGCCGACTGCCGTCTGCCGGCTGCCGCCTACCGTCAGCGCCTAATAAAAAGCGCCAGTCCGCAGTCGCTACACCTACGTCACCACAGGGGCGGATCTAATGTTGCCAGCTATGGAAAATAATCTCCCACCCAATAATAAAATTCAACGAACCTTTGTACCTTTTTACGTTCTCCATATTAAATATCATTCCAATAACCTATGATGAAATAAAACTACACCAATTTTTATTGCAAATTGTTTTTACTTTATTCTGTATCGAAGAGTCTGTGATATCTCTATCACGTGCACGATCAATTTATAAATTTTACTTGTTCTATGTCCTAGCCTGTTAGAATTGAAATATTAGTCTTTAATTTTTTCGACATGCTGGCAAACGTACATGCCGCTTCAGTTATTAAGGATATACTTACGCCTGTAGCTTGACTTAATTTTTTTGAAGTTATACTTCTTTAGGCGCGTTATGAAAAATTGATGAGAGTGAAATTTTACGATGCGCGCGCACCGTGACACGAAATTATCAGTATGAAGTTGCCCACGGAAGATGATACGGCATTGGACATAATTTAAAAGCAACATTCGAATAATAATAGAATTTATGATACACTTAATATAAGAGAATAATAATAAATATTTATTTATTTAATTTTTCAAATGTAAACTGAACTTTATTGATATAATGACTCCTTTTCCAGTATTTGATTATTTGATTGTAATATTTATTTGCATGCAATCAAAAACTATTTTTAATAATGCCAAAGAAGTATAACTTCGCGTACATAAGTACACGCACCCTTTTTTATTCAATAGTTATGATCTTTTTTTTTGGAATAGATTGAAATAGAAAGTGTACTTTATGATTTAAATCTAATAAAAGTATGAACTCCCATATTGGTTGCTAAAGATCTCATAACGTGCAACCCTAAATTCTACCTAATTTTCCTGTCATTGTCAATTTTTTTGTGAAGTGAAAAAAAATTTTTTTCGAAAGTTATCGTGTTTACTGTGAACACGATCATCCAAAATCCATACGATATGGCATTAAAGTTACTTCCTTTTAAATAAAAAATAATTAATCATAACCTGATGCAATCACATCATGAGCTAATGAACAAGATTTCGTACGACGATATAATACACGCTTTTGGCACATTTTTCTAGACGTCATTCCGGATCCAATGAGCTATCGCATATAATTTTAAGAGCAGTATCTCTATTTTGTACCATTTTCAACTTATCAACTAGACTATATTATCCTACGATACCAATTAGTATGAAAAAAAGTCCAAACAAATATGCATTTGCATGTCCATATTAGTATATAAGTTTGTAAAATTTTAAAATAACTAAACTGTAAAATAGTAATAAATTAGGTATATGATGGTAAGGTGGGGGGAAGATTGAAGAACGGTTTTTTGATGAGAACTTCTTGTAGAACAATAAATATTAACCTGTACTGATTTATTGCTTTGATTAGCAACAAGCAAAAACCATACTTTTTTATCATATCAATAACATATTGTTAAATCTGTTCCAAAGCAGAGAAAATAAGTAAATAAAAAAATAAAGATACGACTACAAAATAGGGTCAAGATGAAAACGTGACGGAGAATGTTTAATTTTTTTTCTAAAATCGTTAAAATTAGTAATATGAGCTGTCGTCAACGGTTTTAGGCCCATAGCTTTTAGTGACTTGAAAACTCACTTCTGACTTTAGTAAAAAAATACCTTTATTTAACAAATATACAGCTAATTGTTTGTTAGACGTTCTGGAATGAATTTAATTTCCGGAACCAACGATTACCTTATATGGTCATATGATGCAACACTAACCAAAGCGCGCGGTTTTATTTGATTGAAAAAACTAGTTATTATGTTTGATTGTATACGTATAAGTATATGTCTTTTATTTTAAATACTTAAGACTAGTTTCCACGTGGCACCATGTAATTCTATGTTTTTGATATCAACAACTTTCAGCTTTTCGTTGGTAAATGACTGACGGACTATGAAAGAATCAATTCATGTTGAGAGGCACAGACGGGACTTTTATGTAGGTAAGGGGGACGTGAAGGTCCCCCTTCGAACCTTACCTTAATTCTGTATGCAAGACAGAATAATAATTTGTTTGGAGTAATTGGCGCTATGCTGCAAAAATGTGATTTTTAAACTTCCATCAGGTGAGTTTTGAAGTGAAACTTCTTTATCGGGGTTGGAAAAAAATTTAGTGTAAATAGTTTTCACTAAAAAAATAGTTTTCGTTACGCGTCACATTTTTCCGTTACGCGCCATCTTTTGAAGTGAAACTTCTTTATCGACGTATGGGAGAAATTTTGTAGCAGGTTACGCGCCATGTTGCTTTTTGAAGTCAAACTTCTTTATCGGCGTTGGAAAAAATTTTACACACATTTGTCACATTTTTCGGTTACGCGCCATCTTCTTCTTGTCCCTACCACGGTTGATCCGAAGAGTTTCGAAGCCATTAGTAACAAAAATATATAATAACGATAACAATTATAGTAATACTAATAATTCTATTACAATTAATGAAATTCTGTAATAATCTTAGTACTACATAGTAGTACAGTAATAAGTTAAAATGAAATAATTGTATTTGTATTCATGTCTATGATAATAAAAGCCTTTGTTAAACTTTATCTAATTTAACTTTATTCAACCAATTTCTGTAAAGTTGCATATAGTAGATCATTTTTCAAAAAATAAGGTCATAAAGAAGTTTCACTTCTTACGTGTGTACACCTATAGTCGAATTTTTAATTAGACGATATCAACTGACGTTTACGGTGTTGTCAGTTTTTAATGAAATAAAAATAGTGTTGTGACAAAGTAAAAACCCCTGAATTAATGATCGGTGATGGCACTAGTCGCCGCGCCGCGCTTTGTAATAAGACGTCAAAAAACTGATTGTAGTTACATAGTACTAGTACCTAACTTATATCAGAGCACTTTTATACAATTTTGAAATAGAAATAATATTCTTTTATTGTTTGAAATGATGGACTATTCACACTCATTGTTCATTCATCTGATTGAACAAGAACTGAACGCATCACTATTACTTTAAATATGGCAACATTATTTTACAAAGTGACATTAGCTACTGTCAGTTGGCTTCGTCTAATTAAAAATACGACTATAGTACACGCACACATTTTTTTTTATATTCATATTATGTTTCCAGCCCCCCCAACACCCCCAAAACGCACTTTTACAATCAACATAAGAAATTTGTCGGCAGCGGAAGCTTGCGGTTGGCGCAGTTTGAAAGCATTTCTAATTGGATTTGATTTGTTTTTCATATTCATAATGTATAGAAATGTCTAAAAGTCAAAATCATTTATTCATTTAGGTAACACAATGTACACTTATGAACGTCAATAAATAAATACATATTAAATGCCTCTAATTTTACATTTACTGCAAGTTCTCAAATCAAGGTTCGAAACCCATGAGCGCCCCCCCATGTCACAGGCCGCGGAATCGCACAGCACACAGGTTATTTACATACCTTTCTAGTAAACGCAGTACGTAGAATACTTTTTTTAGGCCTTGGGGGGCCCTGTTTAAGTTGTGGAAGAACCTAACACTTTTCATGCATGCTGCATAAAATATGTATGTAATCAGTAATGCATGTAAAATAATATTTAAATAATAATAGTTTAAAAAAACACGCTTTTAAAGCACATCAAACTAAAAAGTGAAAAATAGCGTGGGATGCTCGATAGATATGGCACAATAATACCAGTATTTTTTGTTCATTAACATTTTCAGCCTAAATTAGGAAGTATTTTTCAGTTTTTAGTTTGATGTGCTTTAAAAGCGTGTGTTCTAGTTTTTTTTAACTATTATTTATTTTTTATTTTTTAATTATTTTTTTTCGGATTATTGCATTGTCATCGATCTTTGACAGGTGCGCAAAGTTTGAATTAAATCTGTCCGTTAAAAGTGGGTCAAAATCGAGTCCGAAGGAGTCGGTTACATACATACATACATACATTTATACATACATACAGGTGAAGCTAATATAATGCGTGTAAAAAAATGTTTTGTAGAACAAAAGTTCTTTTGGCGCATTAATAAACAAAACCAAAAGAGCTCTACAAGGCTAAAGCAATCAGCACAACACGTCTTTATTCGTTATCAGTATATATTATACCTCTATGTTCGTTATCCACGAAATGGTTGTCATTGCATAGTTGTTATCTATTTTATATTTTTATACTAAAATGTGTTTCTTTACGTATACATGTCTTTCTGTCTTTTTGAACTTATGCCTAAAGAGGAATGTAAGTACTAAATAATAGTATAATGTGTTATAAATTTTTTTTTATTGTGTCTCAAATTTTACATTAAATACATGAGTTGAGACAGCCCCCGTAAGTAGTCGGAGACACTTGTGTTGGAGTTGGCTCGCTACTTCCCTTATTTATACAATATTGAGACAGTTGTTAGAAAATAATACAAAACAAATCAAAACCCAGCTGAGAAGCAAAGCCGGTAAAAAATGAAATAAAATGAAATGTAATTCTCATAGTTTCTCTGAAAATTCTATGAACTCATTCTATACATGCGTGGTTGTGTGTATGTGCGCATGTGTTTGTATGCTGTGTGTGTGTGTTAGTGAGTGTGTGCTTGTTGTTAAGTATATAATTATGTATGTATGTCTCAAACTAGCGACGTCCCAAGTAACACGTAATCTGTATATTCACTGAAGTAAAGACTGATTTACGTTTTAAAGTCAGACTATCACTTTAAATCAGTTTTGACTTAGTTTA